TTTGAATACAGTCCGGCAGAGCTGTCAGTCAAGGTGCAGCCCAGCCCCCTGGCCATGAAGTGGGCATGTGAGCCAAGCTAGGCCAGCTGGGCTGTCCCTTCCTGGAACTGAGAGAGTAAACAGTGTTTCAGGACGGAAAGCAGCTGGCAGTCACCGCATAGCACGACTGCGGAGGAGCCTGTCCCATCGCCATCCTCTGAGCTGCCCGGGTTCCTGTCCATTTCCAAACCTCATTCTCTAATCTGAACTCCTGATAACCTTCCCATGAGGTTCCTTTTCCTGTTAGTCACAGTCCATTTGTACTGCTACACTCAGCAGTCCTGCCTGGTAGGACGGGTGGTCACTCCCATTTCACAGAAGAGGAAACTGCCTCGTGGGGATTGAGTATCTTGCCAAAGGTCTCCCAGCAAGTGTGGTGGGGCTGGGTCTGAACCAAGCCGACTGACTCAGGGCCTGGGCTCCTGACCTCCGGGCTAGACTTCCTACTTTCCCAGCCAGGAGCTACAATCAGAAATCCAGGGTTATTCTCCCAGGAATGAAGCTGTGCCTCATAAAGGAAGCTGATTCAGGGGCTTTCCTTTCTTATCTCATCGAAGCAGCTGCGGCTGCCACCAGATGTCCTGGGCTGGCTCCCATCAGGTGCACTAAGGGACCCTTCACTCTCAGGTGCTCATGGAGTGAGTTCTAAGCTGTGTTGTTACAACAGTAGCAAAGCTAACAGTGATGAACCACAGGGTACCACAGGGTATGTGGGGTGTCTGGGACATGGGCACCAGGGAAGTGACCTGATTGCTGCTGTCACTGTTAGGACTTGGCCATCCTGAGGTCCCCTTCTGTTCTCCTCTCACAGATCTGCAGGGTTTATGTCCAGACTGATGGTTCGGACTACCTCATTATTTCCCAAGGGCCAAGATAAAATGAAATCACCCACTGTGGATCCCTGACTTCTTTTTCCCTGTGACAGGAGAAAGCCAGGGCTGAAGGACTTTGGAACCTTTTCCTACCCGTGGAGGCCGATCCCGAGAAAAAATACGGAGCAGGACTGACCAACGTGGAGTACGCCCATTTGTGTGAACTCATGGGCACGTCTCTGTACGCTCCCGAGGTACTTTCTTCCTCAGCTCGGGAGGGTATCCTCGTCCTCCACACCCTCCACAGCTACCCTCCCAGGTTGACCCGGTTCCCTCCAACTTGCACTGGCTTCAGGAACACTGATGCAGACTCAGACTTCTTCTCATGAGGGAGGACACCACGGGCAGGTGGCTGGAGCCAGAGCAAGAGAAGCAGCTCGGGGTGGGTGTCTTCCCGGGAAGGCGGGAGCTGTGTGAGCACAGCCCGGCCGGCTACTGTGGGGCGGCAGCCCAGCTCCGGTCTGCTTTCTCTCCCCCAGGGGGCTCTGAGCTACTGCATTCAAACTGTCGTGGGTCTGTGCCTTTCCCTGGGGAGAGGAAGGACGCTCGTGTGGGTTCAGAGGGCCTGTGACTTGGAAGGAGCCCCAGTCCATACTTCTGAGGGGTCTGAAGTTTTGAATATGGACGTGGGAGTCATCCTTATGTTTTCTCTTCTTTTCAGATCTTTAACTGTTCTGCTCCAGACACAGGGAACATGGAGCTGCTGGTGCGATACGGCACCGAGGAGCAGAAGGCCCGCTGGCTGATCCCGTTGCTGGAGGGAAAGGCCCGCTCCTGTTTTGCTATGACTGAGCCCCAGGTACCTGGCTTGGGCCGCCACCCACAGGCGCTCCTCATCAGACCAGACGCTCGCCGACCCCATCTAGTCTCTGCTGCACTGGACTCTCGCCAGCTCTAATCAGAATGTATTGTCACTCAGGTTGCCTCCTCAGATGCCACCAACATTGAGTCTTCCATCCGAGAGGAGGATGGTTTCTATGTCATAAACGGTCACAAGTGGTGGATCACAGGTATTTGGCCTGAAATTCATTTTTCACTTACACACATGGCTCTGTAGTGATAAGCTTGTCTTCTCTCCCCTGCTGTTGTCTCAGAAGCTCTGGAAGAGAGTAGCTTCATTAGCAGGTGATGCAAAGGAGATTCTATCTGTGCTCCCAGAAAAGGCGGCAGACCCTGGGAGAACCAGAGGTTCTGCATGAGTCATCAGGTGACCACACGGGTGGCAGTTCCAGGAGTCTCATTGACTCCCCGCTCTCTTCTTCCTGCCATGGGCATTTCCCTAAGGGAAGGCAGAAAGTCACTTCCTCGGGGGCGTCCTCCCTCTGTGAGACCAGGTGTGCTGCAGCCGAGGGCTAGCGCTCATCCTGGCGTGACCGCTGCAGGGCCCTCCTCACCTACTGAGTCCCCACCCTTCTCTGGAATGTATCTGTTACTATCCCCATTTTACAGAAAAGGAGACGAGGTTGGAGAAGTGACTTGAGTCATTTTCTAAGGTTCTAGCTCCCCACTCGCAAGTAGGGAACCCAGAGTTCAGGGTTGGCCTAATTCTGACGCCTGTGCCCGAAGCCATTGTGTTCCCACTGCCTGTGGTAAAGTAGCAGTTTCTAGTCTCTTGTCTCTAAATTATATTTTCAACTCGATGATGTGCTTTAAAGAAAAAAAAATTGCTTGTTTGATGTTGGATTCCTTTCTCACTGGGACGAAACCCAGTTGCTCTTATCGCTGGTCAGGAGCCTGCAAGTGCTCTCCTGATCACATGATGTCTTCAGGAGCTCTGTCTGCTTGCCGGCTTGGGCTCTCCTGGGCTAGGACTGCGTCTGTAAGTTCTGATGGCCCTGGTGTCAGATGATGGGGGTCTGTCTCTCTCCCTTCCTGGCAGGCATCCTGGATCCTCGCTGCCAACTCTGTGTGTTTATGGGAAAAACAGACCCACATGCCCCACGCCATCAGCAGCAGTCTGTGCTCTTGGTTCCCATGGATACCCCGGGGATAAAAATCATCCGGCCTCTGACCGTGTATGGGCTGGAGGACGCACCAGGTTAGCCCCCCGGGAGCAGCTCACCTCTCTGTGGGTCTGGGTCAGGGCGTGGGCAGAAGGCTTTGGGCAGCCCTTGCTCCAGCTCAGGAAGTAACACCTCGAGGGGGATGATGACGTTTGGAGGGCCAGGTGCTCCTACATTTCAGCTGCATACATGAGTATCATCCATGCAGGCAAATTGCAGACACACTTTTATCCTTTTTTTTTTTCTCTTCTAAACTTAGAAGATAAACAGGATTCTGTGAGGTAAGGAGGCCGCACAGGACAGAGGCAGGAGGCAGGAAGTGCTCCCCCGACCTTCTCTTTTATTTTATTTATTTATTTATCTTAGGGGAGAGGTAACTAGGTTTACTTATTTATTTTTAGAGGAGAATTGAACCCAGGACCTTGTGTAAGCTAAGCATGCGCTCTACCACTGAGCTATACCCTCCCCTCCAGACCTTCTCTTTTAGACCCCAGTGTGGACAACTGACCTCCAGGCCTGGAGGTCCTCTCACAGGAGCTCCTGCTGCTGCTGCTGTTCTCATTTGGCCTCAGTGTTTCCATAGCGTCACATTGTTAAGAGTCACACACTGCTAAGGAGTTTCAGCTTAAGGTAGAGCCATGTTCTACAAAACAAACGGCAAACTATCCATTTGATATTGTAGACCAGTGATTCACTTTCCACCTTTAATAGGTTCCTTCCTGCCCTCCCTCTCCCTTCAGCCACGTCCCAGTTAGAAGCTAGAAAAGGGGCAGGAATGTTGCGGCAGATGACCTGTCCGAGGCAAGGGATAAACACGTCCAAGGAAAATGGGTAGGCAGATGACTCAGGGGAATTGTTTGGGTCTTTTCAGGTGGCCATGGTGAAGTCCTGTTCGAGCAGGTGCGTGTGCCCAAGGAGAACATGGTCCTGGGCCCCGGCCGGGGCTTTGAGATCGCCCAGGGCCGACTGGGCCCGGGCAGGATCCACCACTGCATGCGGCTGATTGGGTACTCGGAGCAGGCGCTGGCGCTCATGAAGGCCCGAGTGAGTGCTTCCCCTGGAGCCCTGCTCCCATCCAGAGCCACCCATCTGTTTTCCTGTCAGACTTCAAATCCTGACGTTTTCTGAGGGCAGACTTAGCAGGTGATGCAAGATGACGTTCCTTACAAGAAGCTGTGTCCCTGTCTCTGCTTTGCATCTGCTACTGCGCTGAAGTCTGAAATGTAGAGACTCGGCCTCACTCTGCTGAGGTGACCAGAAGGAGAAGTAGGCTCTGTGGCAGCCAGCTGAGGGCAAGGTTCCAAGGCCCACAGGGTCACGGGCTGCCAAGGGCCACTGCTGCTACCAGGTCATCTTTAAAAATCAGATACCAGGAGTACCAGCCCGCAGCCCTGTACCACCCTCCTTCCCCTACACAATTCTGCTCCGCTATGACCCCTCAGAGGCTGGAAGCCCACACAAAAGAACGCTCTTGCTGGGAACAGTAGTTCAAATCAGTGGTATCGATTTCACGAAGATGAAGCAAACCATTGAGACCAAACGAATCCTTCACAAGACACTCTACAAAGAACAGAGGTGGTCCAGTATGTTTGGATTACCAAGCAACCAACCACCAACCAGTTTTTTCCTTTGAAAAATCCTAAGTGCTCAGGTGCAAGTATTCCAGCCCCAAACTGAAGAGCAGTGCGACCGTGCATGTCACAAGTCTTAGAAGGTGCATAGCACTGATGTGGCCATTCCCCTCATAGAACGTGGTCACAAGGGAGTAATTAGATTTTGCTATAGGAGGTTTACCACAGCAGTGATTATAATATATTGGGAACAACCTATAAGGCTAACAGAGACTGGTCAGAGAATCCTGGTTTGGGCATGCAATGACATTCCAAAATGATGCTATAGAAATCCGTTTCTTAATACAGAGATGTTCTTAAGTGGGGGGAAAGGGAGTCTACAAAGCATTATATAGAGTATGGCTCCATTTTTTGTAGAAACTGCGCATGTATGTTTTCTGCATACAGAAAGTCTAGAAGGGCATTCACCAGATAGTAAGAGAAAGGGACTAGATGATGGGGTGCCAAGGGTTTGTCTTTCCTTCTTTCTTTGGTCTGAAAAATGTAAACTTTTTCTGACATGAGACGTTTTATTTGTGTAATGACTGTTTTCGGTTAAAAAGGGGAAAAAAGGGAAAAAAGAATTCCTTATAACCTTCTCTGATTGCTTGTGGCATTGAAAAGACTCTAGGATCCCCCTTGCCGTAACAGTTGCCCACAAGGGGGCTCTGGCACCGGACTGTGCTCCCCAGGCGTCCCAGGGCATGAAGGAGGCCCCGTGGAGGACACCCTCCCGGACTTGAATGAGGCATGCCTAGGTGCTGCCTAATTCCCAGAGTCACTCTGAGCCACAGGAGCCATGTAAGAACTGTTCCTGCCTGGCAACCAGGCTGACCCGGAAGGGGACAGAATGGCTGGAGTAAAGGGGTCTCTGGAAGTAATTTGTGCAGCCACCAGGTTGACTAGCTCCGCGGTGCCCACGGAGAGCGCTGTCTGCATCTGGCTGTCCTCCCTGGAGGTTTCCTGGGGACTGGAGAGCTGGCAAAGTGGTGGATGAGCTGCGCAGTGCCGCTTCTGCCCCCTCCTCTCCTGCCCTCCCCCTGTGCTCCCACCCACCTCCCCTGCAGGGCACAGCCCGTGCCTCCCTCCCGAGTCTCCTGTGTCCGCAGGTGAAGTCCCGCGTGGCCTTCGGGAAGCCCCTGGTAGAGCAGGGCACGCTCCTGGCAGACATTGCCCAGTCCCGCGTGGAGATTGAGCAGGCCCGGCTGCTGGTGCTGAAAGCTGCCCACCTCATGGACGTGGCGGGAAGTAAGGTAGGAGGTCGGGGAGCCTGAGAGATGACAGGTCCTGAGGTTGCGGTGAGGGACGCCATCCCTGGAATCTCTAGACGCGGACTCTTCCCTCCCCCATTCAGGGACCACAGAGAAAGCACTTGGCTCCTTGACATAAATAACTGCTTCAACTCGCCTTAGAACTACTTGGGCAGCTTTTCAAAACAGAAAAGGTGTAATAAAAGAGGACTGAACTTTCTGTTTTACTGCCTCAGTGAATATCTGGGTCCAAGACAGCGGGCCTGACAAGGCCACACGACCCCAGCGTCAGCTACAGCCACACCTGGACTTCCAGGCATCAGGCAAACTAAGAGTAAGCAAGGGAATTAGCCAAAAGAGAGGCTTTACTTTCGAGTGTGACATTATTCCTTTCTGAGTACCCCTAATGGCCAGACATGATGCCACGCTGACCCCTGCCTCCTCCAGCTCTCCCTGGGGCCTCCACCCCTTAGCAGAGAGGCCTTAGTAATGGGGGTGACCCAGGCTCAAGTTCCTGGCTCTCTGGCACTCTAGTGCCAGGCATGAGGGCTCTCAGGGACTGCGCTTGGATGCCTGCACCCAGGGCAGATCCTTGCCCCTCAGTTCCCCAGAGTCCTGGCTGGCCTTGGTCCACTGTCTGGTTGGAAACAGAGCTGGCTGTGACCCTGAATGAAGCACAAGCCACTTCCCACTCTGCCTTCTGTGTGCAGGAGATGCTCCCCGTCACCTGGGAAGACCAGACAACCACTCATACCCTACAACATCCTGAGTCACCCTCCTAGCCACACCACTGCCCCCTCCATGCCCCTCAGTATTGTACACGCACCAGGCAGGGCTGCCTCATGGAGCTTGTGGCCCAGCGGGACCTCAGGTTTCTCTTCTGAGCTATGACTTCCACTCCTCCCTATGAAACTGATTGTTCTTCCAGGCATTCTGCCGTCTGCTCTGCCCTTCTAACCACATCTCCTCTTCCTTGCAGGCCGCAGCTTTGGATATTGCCATGATTAAAATGGTGGCCCCATCCATGGCCTACCGAGTGATTGATCGTGCCATTCAGGTGAGCACAGATGGTGGACCACTGTTTGTCTGAATATTTACTACAGATGCAAAACTCCCTCTCTTTCAGCTGCCAACCTCCTGTAACATAACAGCCGCCCTTTGTTGCACACTCACCACCCACATGACTTTCCTTTTCCTCCTCAGAACAACCCTATGAGGGATCCTATTCCTGCCTCATTTTGAACACATGGAAACAGAGGCACAGAAAAGTGAAGTGACCTGTCCAAGGTCACTCAGCTTGCAAGGAGCTGAGCTCAGATTCTTGGGAACCCAGGACCTTAGAACACCAGGCCCAGCCTCCTAACCACACAGGGATAATCCTTCCCGAATCTCAACATCTGTCCCTGACATAGGGATTTCCTGATGGCAGACGTCACCTAGCATAGCAGACCTGGGGAGTGTGGCATCCTTGGGACAATAAGCGCAGCCCCACCTGAAAGTCTTCCAAAACACGGCTGCCACGCAGGTGTCAAAGGAGATCCCCAGGAAGGTGGGTGTCGTGAGCTGTTCTGAGATATTAGGAGCAAGCACTTGTTCCTGGGGCTCTTGCGGACGAGGGCTCACTCAGGGCTTCCTTCCCTCCCATCTGTGTCTGCCAGGCCTTCGGAGCAGCAGGGCTGAGCAGTGACTACCCACTGGCTCAGTTTTCGGCCTGGGCCCGAGCGCTGCGCTTTGCCGACGGCCCTGATGAGGTGCACCGGGCGGCAGTGGCCAAGATGGAGTTGAAGCACCGCGTTTAGACCTGCAGACTACAGGAGCCTGAATGTCCCTGCTGGGCCTGGGTTTCCCAAAACTTTAAAGATGCACTTTGAAAGGCCTGGTATGTGTGATTCTTGCACCCTGCCCGGAAGCTCTGTTCTGGAACCATCACTGTGAACTCAACCTTGTTGGGTCCCCGTGGAAAAAGCATTTCAGCGAGAAGCCTGTTTTAGGCAAGTAGGAGTGGGATTAGCCAAGAGCTGAGTGGGCTTTGGTATAGAGCCTGGAAGATTTAGCCCAGGCCCCATTCTCTCTGGCTCTGGTGCATGAAGACTGTGGGAATCTAGACAAATGCTACGAACCCTGCTGGGGCGGTGTGCCTGTATTTGCTCCCAATATGGGGGCCTCCTGCTCTGTGCCTTCCCATCCCCCGAACCCCCAGCTGATGGCTGCAGCCTGCAGACCCAGGGTGGGAGTGCTCCGGGGAAGAAAGAATGAAACCATAATCATGAAGCCACTGCCGTCTGATTTTCTTCCTTTGAATGTCCAAAACACAGAACACTGAGATGTTATTTTGGAAAGGGGCTTTGGAAACACAAAAGAACAAGAAAATGCACCTCACAGGCTTTGTGAATGTTCTATGTCATACACAAGGAATGGAGAATAAAGGCTCACGCTTCTGCCGGTCTGTCTCAGTACATCAGTTGCCTCCTCGTACGTGAGTTTACCTGGGATTCTGCCCAGTGCATGGCCCACCCGTGTGTGTGATGGGCACAGACGCCATGATCCCTGTAGGTCCTGAACTGGCCGCCTTGCTGCTGCTCATATAAAAGTCAGCAAAAGACCACGGCTTTATGGTGTGAGGGTCACGCCTCCATCTGCTCTATGATTAGAATGTTTGGGGGCAGGGGAGGTGGTGGGCAGTGTGCCATTATAATTCAGAGAGCAGCATCCTCTCGGAGAAAGGAGAAACGCTCACTAACTCGAGGTCTGAGCTCTTCAAGACGTGGGTGCCCCATGAGCCCAGGCAGCAGGCAGAGATAAGCCACCTGCTGTTAGGACCTAGTCTGCTAATCTCATCATTTGTGATGATGTGGCCAACAGCTGCCCACTTCAGGTCAGACCAGATGGGCAGGGACTGTTCTCCCCTCGTCTGCTGCACTGCAGACTTGACCCCCTCAAGGGAACTGCTTTACCAGAGAGGGTGCCTGGCTGCTGCGGCCAGGGCCATGGCCCTTCAGCGTGCTGGGGAGTCCTGTGGGGTTTGTGAAAGGGCTCCCCAGATATTCTTGCCTCAGTGATCTGGGGAGGCACACCACCCTCCACTGCCTGTTGCTCAAGAAAGGTAAAGTTAAATTGCTATCACAACACCAGCCACATTGGTAAACAATCTTTTGCAAACTCTGGCAGAGTTCTAGCAGCCTGAGTTCCTGCTTCAAGCCTTAGGAAGGAGTTTGTTTTGAAAAAGGAAATGCTTTGGCTGGTAGCCCAATGCATCATGTGGCCTCTGAAGTTAACCTTGCTTGTTCTGTAGTGCAGCTACAGGGATGAAAATAGAAGCCGTGCTGTGGGGCAACCTCACATCTCCCTCAGATACTCCACTGCGAAGCGGGGAGGCACTGGGGCGGGACAGTGACCACTGCCTGAAGAATGCAAGTCGGAGATGTGGCCTCCAGCAGCCCTGCATCCAGGGTCTCCCAAGCTATGAAATAATTCCACTCACCGCTGTCTGCTGCACCCGGCTCTGGGCCTGGCACTCGTCTAGGCTTGGGGCGATGTGCAGGAAAACAAACAGGTCAAGTTGCCGTTATCAAGGGGCCCATGTCTCAAGTAGGGGATGGCGGTGAGTGACTGAGACCATGTAGGTGCTGGGGTGGGTGCTGTGATAGGTACTGCTGGGGGTGCGGTGCTGGGGACTCAGGAGTAGGGACTTGTTCCAGAAGAGGCATTTAAGCCAGATGTGCATGACAAGAATGGGCAAGGGTGCTTCAGAAGAAGGAGGAGCAGCTGCAGAGGCCCTGGGGCTAGCCCAGTGTGTCTGGGGTGCAGGGCAGAGAGAGTAGGATGTGGGAGGTGTTGGGTCATGTGAGGCCTCAGGGACCTTGGTCAGGAGTTTGGTGTTGATTCTAAATGTGCCAAAATGGCAAGTTTAGGTAGCACTGTGACATACTTTGATTTGAATTTTTAAAAGCTCCTTCTGCTCTCCAAAGATCACTAGGATGAAGAAGGAATAAAGGAGTATCAGAGCTGGTCAGAGTTCCCCAACATTGCAGAGAACTCCACCCACAAAATGAAACCACTCACAAAATTAAAATTAAAATTTTAAAAGAAAGAAAAGAGAAGGGAAAGTAGGGGGATGGGAGGGCAGGGCCTTAGCAAGATGTGAGCAAAGAATAAAGGAAATTTAACCTGATCCTAATCTGATTTTTTTTCCACCTTCAGCAAATAGCTGGCATTTCTGGTTGGCCAAACGTGGTAACTCATGTGGTGATGGCCCATCACTGTGTCTCTGCACTGGGAGTCAGTGTGTGGTTGTGGGTGCACGCTTGGGCGTGAACAAGCTTGGCTTGGTGATGATCATGCCTGACCAGTTTTATTCAGGGAACACTTAACATCTTGCCACCATCCCTTTTTGGCTGGGCATGCCTTATTATTAGCTTGTCTTAGGAAAGGGAATAAAGTGTGATCATAACATACTAACAATTTTTTTTTCTCACAGTAATATACTATCCTGAAGCAGTCGAACACACATTCCCCTGCTCATCTCCTGGAAAGCATCAGGGGGCTAGATTCCCATAGGGTAGAGCCCTCACTAGAGGTCCCATGACAGTCCCAGGTCCTCAGGGTTCCATCAGGGATGCCAACTCTGGCGGGGATCCCATCCCTTCCTTCCCATTTTCCCTCCTCCTCTTGTTTCCTGCAGTGACTTACAGTCTTGGCGTCCACAGTGGCTGTGCTTCCCCAAGCCCTGATTTCAGATACTGTCAGATAGTTCCAGAATAATCCTATAGAGGCTGTAAGAGGGACTGGATTCTGGGCAACCTGCCTGGGTGGGGCCCTTCTGGGACATCACTGGGAGTGATGTTGAAAGACCAGGCTCCAGAGTTCTCCACCAATATTCCCATCGTAGAGTTCCCAGTGGTTTCTAAGAGAGAGTCCCTGTCTGTCACCACCCAGGGCTTCAGAGTCCCCAGGGATGCTCTAGAGATGCCAGGGAGGTATGGCAGCTTGCCTCTCTGCAGTCACAAGGAAACCCAGGGCAAGCCCAGGGCTGAAGCATTAGTTGAACATCTCTGAGACATCTGGATAGGTATTTATACTGCCCTCCATGGTGCCACATGGCTACAGATCTCTTCCCTCCGTCAACCTCCCCGATGTATGTCAGCCTCAGAGCAGAAGGATAATCAAGGTGGCTGAACAGAGAAGTGGCTTCAGGGAATTCTCTATCATGTCAGCATTAGATAGAGAACACAGTGGTAAACAACTGTCACAGATAAACACAGACATAAAGTGTTAAGGACAGATATTAATCAGTTACCATGATATTGCAGTAGGAAAGAGGGCCTGACACGAACTGACCTCAACTTCCATTTGCACAGAGGGCAGGGAGGGGCAATGGCGGGGTTTACACAGGCAATTCCCTGCTAGATCCACAAAAAGCAGGGAGGGTGGAAGGCGCTGGTCCTCATGAAACTTACCTGGGTTTTGCTAACTGGCACTTTTAGAAGTTAGGCGCGTAGCCTCCCATGGAAACTGGGAGACAGACAGATCCATGAAACAGAGTATAGCTCAGAAATACTCAACTACTTAAAGGCATTTAGTATACAAGATGGAAAACTGGATAATCATATGCAGAAGAATGAAATTGGGCCCTATCTTTTATAGTTCACAAAAATTAACTTGAATCAACTGGAATAAAGACTTAAAAATAAGACCTGAAACCATGAAACTCCTAAAATAGGAAAAATTTTCCTTGACATTGGTCTTGGCAATGATTTTTTTGGACATGACACAAAAGGCACAAGCAACAAAATTAGTGAGTGGGACGACATCAAACTAAAAAGCTTTTGCACAGCAAAACAATCAACAAAATGAAAAGGCAACCCTACAGAAGGAAGATACTCACAAATCATACAACTGATAAAGGGTTAATATCCAAAATATATAAAGAACTTATAAAACAAATAACCCAACTAAAAAATGGGCAGAGGAACTGAGAAGACATTTTTCCAAATAAGACAAGAAATGGCCAAAGGTACACGAAAAGAGACTGAAGTCACTAAGCACCAGGGAAATGCAAATCAACACCACGAGATACCGCCTTACACCTGTTAGAATGACTATCATCAAAAAATCAAAGACAACAAGTGCTGCGGAGGATGTAGAGAAAAGACAACCCTCATATACTATTGGTGGGAATGTAAATTGGTACAGTTACTATGGAAAACAGTATGGAGGACTACTTTATGATTCATCCATCCCACTTCTGAGTCCAAAGAAATTCCAAAGAAACTAAAGAGATCTTCCAAAGAGATATTTGCACTCTTATGTTCATTGCAGCACCATTCACAGTAGCCAAGACATAGATACAACGTGTCTGCCAACAGATGAATGTATAAAGATGTGGCGCGCGTGCACACACACACACACACACACAAACAGAATACAATTCAACCAGGAGAAAAAAAATCCTTCCATTTTTAACAACATGGATGGACCTTGAAGATTTTATGCTAAGTGAGATAAGTCAGAGACAGGATAACAAATACTGTATGATCTTGGTTATATGTAGAATCTAAAAAAGGCAAACGCATAGAAACAGAGTAGAATGGTGGCTACCAGACCCTGGGGGTGGGGAAAATGGGGAGATATTGGTCCAAGGGTGCAAATTTCCAGTTATAATCTGAATAGATTCTGGAAATCTAATGTACATCACAGTGATTATAATTACAAAACTGTGTTTGTGTTATAAACTTGAAAGTTGCTAAGAGAGTAGATCTGAAATGTTCTCACCACAAAAAGAAATGGTAGTTATTTGACATGATAGAGGTATTAGTTAATGCTAGGGTGGTAATTTTTTGCATTATGTATCAAATCAACATGCTGTATACCTTAAACTTACACAGTGTTACATGTCAATTCATTTCAATAAAGTTGAAAAAAAGTACTGGAAAAATACAGAAGAAAGCTTAAAAATAATCTTAGAGTGGAAAAGCCTTTCTAGACATGACATAAAAGCCTGAAGGCATAAAAGAAAAGATTGGCAAAAAAAAAACCCCCAAAAACCAAAAACCAAAAAACCCTCTAAAACAAAACAAAACAAAAAAACAAGGCATAGACTAAGTAAAAAGTTAAATGAGGACTGACAAGGTATTTACACCACATCTGATAGACTAAGGTTAATTGCTTTGATATACGTAAGTGCCTACAAATCAGTTTTAAAGAAACCAATGATTCCAATAGAAAAATGAGCAAGGGACACGGACAGTTTGTAGCAGAGGGAGAACACATGACTCCACATAGGCAAAGACACTCAAGCTCACTCCTGAGAAGAGAAATGCAAATTAATGCTATTTTGCAGCTACCAGATTAGGAAAGCTTTAAAAAAAATGATAAATTTGTAAAAGGTGTGAGGAAACTCAGACATGACAGGGGTCGAGGCATAAACTGATCAAATCTCTATG